CATTGATCTTGCCATTGAACTCAATTCATCATTATCACTTGCTGTCATTTCAATTAAAATGCCATGAATGTGACTAATATCAGTGAAAAAATTATTTGAAGTCACATATTTGAAACCGGAAACCTTCACAGTTAGCTGATAAAAGTTTTCCAAAAAAATCACCAAGAATCTAGCTTTTGTCCAATCAGATTTTGTTGGCAGATTTTCTAACTCTTGAAGCATATAAGGATCCTGCTCCTCAAACCTCTCAAAAGCTCGCTCAAACCTTTGAGCTGTGTCTAGCATTAGATATGTAGAATTCCACCTAGTAGGTACATCTAAACAGAGCAATCTTTTGCATTCAATTTTTTCAATTTCAACACACTCCTTGAATTTTTTCAATCTAGAAGGTGACTGTCTAACATATCTAACTGCTGCCCTGATACAATCAACTGACTCCCCAAGTTTTTTGATGCCATCATTAACAATTAGATTCACTATGTGAGCTACACACCTCACATGAGTCCATTTCCCCCCTAACACAGCTTTTCCCCAATTTTGAAGCTTTCCTCGTAAATACTGGACAGCTACATCATTGGAACTTGCATTGTCAACTGTGACAGTTAGGATATCATCAACTCCCCATTCTAGTAGACACTTTTCTATGGCCTTACCAACTTCAGTTCCCTTGTGACTAGCAATAGGACAGAAATTTAGGATCTTTTTGTTCAGTTTCCAATCATTATCTATGAAATGGGCAGTGAGGCACATATAGTTTATCCTTTGAATGGATGTCCAAGAATTTGTGGTTAAACAAATTCTGCCACTGTTATTCTTCAAGAGTTGTTTCAACTTAGTTTTTTCATCTAAATACAGCTGATAGCAATCTCTAGAAATAGTCCATCTCGAAGGAATTTTAAATGATGGACAAGCAGTCCGCATCATATATTGAAAGCCTCTACCCTCTACATGTTTAAATGGCAACTCATCAACAATTACCATATAAGCTAAGCTTTTTCTAATGGCTTCCGCATCAAATTTCCAACTTATGAGTGCCCCTTTAACCTCTCCCGCTAAGGTTTCAGTTTCACCCAAACACAAAGTAGCCTGGCCAGTGTGCTTATTTTTAGGATTTAGAGGACATTTAGCTACATGAGTATTAAGGGGAGTCGTACCATGACTTTTGGGATCCGCAGCTATGTCCTTGTCACAGTACTTGCAAATTGCATGACGAACTCCATTCACATGCTTTACATGAAAATGATCCCAAGCTTTGGACCTCTTCTTGTACTCTCCTCTTTTCTTGGCAAAACCAGATTCCTCGCAGCTTTGTGTAGTAGGACTAGGAGGAAGAGTTCCAGATGATCCTTCTTGTTCCAGCTCATTGCAACTTGGATTACTCTCACCATCAGTAGTAGACATAGCTTCAGTGTGCCAGCACTTGAAACCTTTGACCAGAACAAGGACACAACACAAAGATTTCACAAGTCAGAAAAGGTATATAATACTTTTTTCTCACTGACCTCAGTAGGTCTAATTTCATATCCAATCCAAGATATTTTGAGAAAATTTGCTCATAGCTTCTAAAGAATAATACGACCCTGAAATCTATTATTCACATATTCAAAGTGGAAAAGTAGGAATAATCTCTAAAAGTATACTAATCCATCAAAATTTATGTGTTCATCTTAAACCTATTAGATAAATATGTAATACTACATGATTCTGAACCATCATTGGTTTCATGCATCAGATGAGTTCAGTAAGCTAAAACCAGAACAAAGTTTTAGACATTAATCAACATACTCAACCAGAACTGCACAACGACCATAGCTCAGAACTACTTTGTGAAATTGCCTGTCGCTAAGGTTCAATGATTAATCCGACACAATAGTGGAGCATCAGCCAGGAAGAAAAAGCCATAAAAAATCAGTTCAATAGAACAAAAGGAACAGCCAGGAAGAATAATTCGATACAAAGGTAAATTTACACGCAGAATTCATTTGTTAGTTTCCATTTTAATAGAGGAAAAAATAGCAAAATGGACAAAACAGGCCGAGCCCCAAAAGAAATGTGTGAGAAAGAGAGAGAGGGAGAGGAGACAAACCCTAAATCTTGGAACGAATGCTAAGGAGACTGGAGACTGGAGACTGGAGGAGGCTGGACTGCTGGAGGAGTGAGTATGGAGACTGGAGAGAACCGGCTGGAGGAGGCTTCTGTAGTTGAGGAGAGGAAAGGAGAAGCTGTCAAACTGAGAAAGTATCTTCAGTTGAGGAGAGAAGAAACTCAGAAACAGGCAAACAGCTTGGCTTAGACTTCAGTGGGCGACGGCGCAAAGGAACGAGACTACGAGAGGAAGAGGAGAGCAGAAATAGTGAAATTAGAACGAATGCTAATTTAGGGTATTGAAAGTCTGAAATTGGAACATCCGACAAAAGCTTGAGGTATAATAATATTCGGAATTTCGAATTTGAAAACGGTAGTATTTTACCGTTTTACTGAATTAAATTCGAATTCGGTAAATCCGAATTCAAGAACCCCAAAACCAAATTCGACCCTAATTCGATTCTTACTAATTCGATACCACCGATTTACCGACCTAATTACCGAATTATCGAATTCGAATTACCAAATTGAAATCGATTTCGGTCGGTAATTCGGTAATTACCGTAATTGCTCACCCCTAGTCATAGCAAGCTCAATGGATTTGGAAATGGAAACTCCAAACAATAGCTATTCACAGAAGAAGGAAAACGATGGAAATAAAAAGGATAGCAAGATGAGAGAGGTCAAAATCAGAAGAAGAAATATTAGGAATAGCAGCAACATGATTAACAGGGAACCACTGATGGAAATCTGCCAGAATGGGTGTTCGGTGATCGAGAAAGTGGGTGGAAAAAGAAAAATGACCCAACCAATGGAAGTGGATATGATGAAAGATGAGGAAATGAAACCAAAAATAAGCAAAAAGGAAGGAGAAACGGAAGTGAATGATGAGCTGAAGGTTAGGGAGACCAACCTGGAATGGTCTCCCGGTACAATATGAAAGTTCTGGCGTGGAACTGTCAAGGTGCCGGGAGCTCCTTGACGATTCCCAGTCTCAAGGAGGTTTGTAACCTTTACTCCCCAAATCTGGTCTTTCTTAGTGAAACTAAAAATCAAAAAAACATCATGGAAAAAATAAAAAAAAGAGTCAACTATGATAATATTTTTGTGGTTAACCCGATTGGTAAGGTAGGTGGTTTAGCTATTTTTTGGAACAAAGAACTAAACATTGACAAAATTTTGTTCACGGAATTTACCATTGAGGTTAAAATTGCTGCTAATCAGGAATCAGATAGCTGGTGGTGTATATGTACATATGCAAACTCAGTGGCATCTATTAGGCAGAAACAGTGGGAAATTTTATCTAACAAGAAAAGGTTGTGGAACAATAGAATTGTGCTCATTGGTGATTTTAACGATATAATCTCCAACGATGAAAAGTGGGGTGGTAAGACAAGAGAAAGCTGGTCTTTTATTAAGTTCAAGAATTTTATTACCAGAAATGAGCTCGTTGACCTTGGCTTTAAAGGGTTGCCCTGGACATGGAACAACAATTGGAGCTCTGGGGAAAAGATAAAGGAGAGATTAGATAGAGTTCTAACAAGTGTAGAGTGGTGCAGGAACAATAGTGGAGCAAATTTGATGCACATACAAACTGCTGCGTCTGACCATGCTATGCTGCTAATGGATACCAGACCAGTAAGGAAAAGATGTAGAAAACGATTCCAATTTGATGCAAGATGGTTGCAGTATCCTGAAGTAGAAAAGGTAGTGGACTCAGCATGGGAGAAACAACAATTGGGATCCAGAGGCTATAGAATAACAAGGAAAATCAAGGAATGCAGACTGGCACTCAAAGGATGGAATAAAGGATTTCAGTCAAACAGTAAAGCCAATAGTTTGGCTATCAAAGATCTAATTGGGAAGACACAGGAAAGGAATGCACAGAACAAACAATCTCTGATTATGGATCTTAAAAGGAAATTGAGTGCTGAGTATGCTAAGGAAGAAGCTTTTTGGGCCCAAAAATCTCGATGCAAATGGCTAAAAGAGGGGGACAAAAACACAGCTTACTTTCATATGAGAGTTGCCAGTAGAAGCAAGGAGAAATAGGATATTCAGATTGGAGAAGGAACAAGGGGGTTGGTGTGAAACAGATGAGGAGATAGGTGAAGAAGTAGCAAGATACTACCAGGATTTGTTTAAAAGCACATGGCCCACAAATTTCGATGAGATCCTTCAGGGCATTCCTAGAACAATCACAGAATAGATGAACAGAGAAGGAAATTAAGCTAGCTTTTTTTTCCATGCATCCCAATGAAGCCCCGGGACCAGATGGTATGTCTCCCTTATTTTTTAAAAGATTCTGGGGTATCATTAAAAAGGACCCAGTGAAGACTATCAAGAGTTACTTTCAGCTGGACCATTTGTGCAAAGCTCTAAATGAAACTTTAGTCACACTAATTCCTAAGATTGATATGCCATTGAATCTTTCTCAATATAGACCAATCAGCTTATACAATGTTGTTTATAAAATCACTTCCAAAGTTCTTGTAAATAGAATGAAGCCTTTTTTGAATGAATGCATAAGTAATGGTCAAGCTACTTTTGTACCAAGAAGACAAATTTTGAATAATGTTATGATAGCACATGAATATATCCACTGGCTTAATCATAGGAGGGGCAAGAGAGAGGGATACATGGCTCTTAAACTAGACATGTCAAAAGCCTATGATAGAGTAGAATGGCAGTTTTTGCTTTGTGTCCTTAGTAAAATGGGGTTCTGCCCCTTGTGGATCAATTGGATCAAAGGGTGTATATCCTCCTGTTCCTACTCCTTTAATATCAATGGGAACAAAACAGGCTATATGTGTCCTTCTAGAGGCATTAGGTAGGGGGACCCACTGTCCCCATATTTGTTTCTTTTCTGTGCTCAAGGCCTTGCGAACCTCTTAACATCTGCTTGCAGGAACAATATGTTAACAGGAATTAAAATCTCCAGGAATGGCCCTGTCATATCCCATTTATTTTTCGCAGATGACTCGTTGATCTTCTGTAAAGCTAACTCTAAGGAGGCAAGTGAGATCACCAGAATCTTTCAAATCTATGAACTAGCTTCAGGACAAAAGATCAACATTGAGAAATCAGTAGTTCTTTTCAGCAGAAACACTTCCCAGGAAAACAAGCAAGAGGTCTTCCAAACTCTTGGCAACATCCAGCATGTCTCTCAGGCAAAGTATCTGGGTCTCCCTATGGTTATAGGAAGATCTAAAAACAGCACATTCAGGTTTCTGAAAGAGAAGATGATTGGCAAGCTGCAAGGATGGAAGGGAAAGATGCTAAGTAATGCGGGCAAAGAGGTTCTTCTCAAATCAGTTGCATTAGCTCTACCATCATATACCATGTCAGTTTTCAAGCTTCTAGATGGACTATGCAAAGCATTAAGCAGCATGATGGCGAGATTTTGGTGGGGAAATGACCCAGGCGAGAAGAAAATGTATTGAAAAAAATGGTGGGACCTGACTGATGTCAAAGGTAAGGGAGGGCTTGGATTTCGTGACATAAAGTGCTTCAATGAAGCCTTACTTGCCAAGCAAGCATGGAGACTTCTAACAAAACCTGAGTTGTTGGTCAGTAAGGTAATGAAAGGAAAATATTTTCCGAACTCCCCTATTTTGCAGGCCAAAGCAAAGTCTGGTTCATCGTGGATATGGCAGAGCATCCAAAGTGCAATCCCTTTGCTAGAAAATGGCATTAGAAGACAGATAGGAAATGGTAAATCAACTGCAATTTGGAAAGATAGATGGGTTCCCAATGGTATGAATGGACTAATAAGATCAGCTAGACCTCAAAATTGTATCATAGACAAAGTCTGTGAGTTGATCAGTAACAAGAGATGGAACAACAATCTTATTCAGTCCATTTTCTCAAGAGAAGAGGCGGAACAAGTACTAATGATCCCTCTCAGCATCCAGGAAAGGCAGGACAGGTTCGTTTGGATGCATAGCAGTAGTGGAGACTACACCACCAAGTCAAGATACGCTCAAGCCAGATTGAAATCGAGCAAGAAGGCCAATAAGATGCAACCAAACGAGGGATCCAGCTCAAGGAAGGATGATCCTACACTATGGCATCAAGTCTGGGATCTAAACATAAAACATAAACTGAAGCACTTCCTATGGGAATGTCTTCATAACATTCTGCCCACAAACGAAGAAGTGCATAGAAGAACTGGTAAAGGGGATAAGTGGTGCAAATGCTGTGATGAAGGGGGAGAAACTTTAGAGCACCTTTTTTTCAACTGTAAAGCTAAAGGAGAGGCTTGGAAGACATTCCCTATCAAATGGGACGGTATTCAAGAAAGCTCGTGGAATTTCTGGAGGTGGTGGGAAGCATTGCAGGGTACTAGAAGCAGAGTTAAGGGCATCAGTCACATAGAAGCCACAATAAACTTCTTGTGGCAATTGTGGAAAGCCAGAAATGCCTGCAACTTCAACAAGGAAAGCACAAAAGGTAACCTGATTTCAAGTAGAGCTCTAGAAGAATGGTTGGAGTACAAACAGATGTGAGACTTGGAGAATGGGGAAAGCAAAAAGGATGAGCCAGAAGTGCCAACGAGGATCATCACAAAAGAGCTCCATGATCAACATGCCATTCTAATGTTCACGGATGCAGCAATGGACGATAAGAGAAGTAGAGGGGGATTGGGCATTGCAGCAAAGGACCATAATGGAAGATTGGTCAAAACATGGGCAATCCCTACTGGAATGATGAAAGATGCTGCCATATTAGAAGCAGAAGCAATCAGATCAGCCATGCTCAAAACTTTGGAAGAAGGGTGGACATCTCTACTCATACACTCAGATTGTAAGTGTTTAGTGGATAGAATTAATCACAGATATATTTGGTTATTTCTGTTAGATATGTTGGTAGATGATATCGTACATCTTAGTCGATCCTTTTGGCGATGTTCCTTCATATTTATTGGAATGGAACATAATCGCACTAGTCATGGTTTGGCAAAGTTTGCAATCAACCTAATTGATGAAGCAAGGTAGGAGCTAGACTTCCCTGTGTGGCTTAAGACTGAAGCCCACAAAGATGCCCTGGCCGTGTGCCAGTAGTATGTATATGCTAGGAATATTGTAACTTTTATCACATATATATTAAATGATGACATTTTGACAAAAAGAAAGAAAGAAAGAGATAAACAATGCAAAGATCACAAACGTAACAATAAGTAAATAACAAGGAAAGAATTGCAAACCAATTAACTACCCAACTCCTCTTGAACTTGTAGATTAATTCAAACAAACTTCTTCAAGTTGATGAATTACAATCACTCTTGTGTACAAAGGAAGGTTCACTTCCTCCTTACCCCGAACTTTACTCGATCAAGTTAGGACGTTTTACTATCCCTCAAGACAACCCTCGCAGAGCTACACTCATGAAGTATTCACTCACAAATGAAAAGTTTGCAATGAACCTCACACCACTAAGACTACAAATCTTTTTTGGAAAGTATTTTTTTCACTAAAATCACTCTAGATCTTTTGTATCTTCAGTGTGCAAAAGTTATTTGAAGATTCTGACCATACTCTATTTATAGGAGACCAAGAAAGTGCTTCATTAATGCTTCCAACGGATAGAAAGTAGCTGAACAGTCAACTAGCCGTTGGAGTATTGGACGTCCGGTACTTCTATTTTTTGCGTCCGATAGTAGGCAGTGAGTTTGAGAAATTTTCTTCAATTCTATCGGACGTCCGGTGCAAACTCTTTGTGCGTCCGACAGCAAATAAAGAGATTTAAAAAATCATCTTGTTTCTATCGGACGTCCGGTGGAGACATATTCAGCGTCCGAAGTTACGCAATGATTATCGGACGTCCGATCCAAGCGTCCGACAGCTTTCAGCAGCCTTTGTCCCTTTCAATTGCACTTGATCTTCGAATCTAATTTGCTTCACAACTGAAAATATTTCTTAAAAAGATATTAGTATTATCCATTGTTTTGTAAACATATAAAATTAGGAACCAATGTCAACAGAAAAAGTAAAAAGTGCTTATAGTGCTTGCATAGCTACACTTTCGAGAGATTTGTAATATGAGGTAAGGTGTATGTATGGGGATAGGTACACTGTGAATTTGCGTAGCGACACCTTTGGGGGACTTTACTTAATGGTTAGAATGAAGAATAAGAGGGAGTGGATGAATAAATATACAGGAAAGGTATGTCCAAAAATTTTAAAGAAGTTGGAAAAATAAAAAATGCTTCTAGTGCTTGCATAGCTACACGTTCAAGGGACTGGTATTATGAAGTGAGGTGTATGTATGGGGATAGGTACACTGTGAATTGGCTAGTAGAACTAAATGGCATTCATTGTGCTCATGCAAAATGAGTGCCATTATTTTGGCAAAGGAGCCTCCAGAGAACTTTGTTAATGAATGCTATTCAAATGTGGCCTACATGAGGGCATATGGGCCTATAATATATCCTCTCAATGGTGTTGAAAAAGAGGCCTCTCCTAGCACCTGAAACCATCAAGTTTGCTGGCTGACACGAGAAGAAAATAACCAGACGAGCCACCAATTGCAATAGCTTCTCAAGGACAAACAAAGAGATTGTCTATAGTGGGTCTAATGGATTATAATTGTAGAAAGTGTAAACAAAAAGGCCACAATAGTAGGAAGTGTCTGAGCAATTTTGACTAAGGAAATATCCAGCAACAAGCTACTAAGACTACAAGTAGCTCTCAGCCACAGCAACAGACTCCTAATACCATAAATCCTAGTGCAAACAAACATTCCAACTTCGCATTTAAGCAGTCCCAACCTCAGCATACTAATTACCAGCCTCAAAATGCTACTCATGTTGCAAACAAACAGTCCAATTTAACACATGAAGCAGTCTTTGGTGCAAGTGGCTTGGAGACTGATATAAGTGACCAAATGTTGTTTGATCTCATCAGTCAAATCCCATGTGAACCTATAACCAGCCAACCACCTACTCCAACATCAACAAGAAAGAATGCAATATCTCCAATTCATACTTCTCTATTTGTTCATACTAATTTCATTGTGTAGCATGTTTGCTTCCTTCTATACTATTATTTACTCATTTTTTTGGTTTCCAACTGTTAGGGTACGAAAGTCAAGTATAGATATGGTATATGTCAGAGATTTGGACACACTCAAAGTAGTTGTGATTCAACATTGGTTTCTCTCTATAAGAGACACCCATGGGAACCACCTGGACTGGTTGTAAGTAAATTGTTATTGTCAACTTCATATATCATCTATCAAATCTCAGATATTGTATGCAATGAATGACCTCCTCATCGTTTTGTTTGTATCTTTAGAGGCCTAAGAAGACATTAACTGCAAACGTATCCATCTCTAAAAGTACTGCAAGCAGGGATGACAAGCTGACTTAGATGACTATGGGGTGCTGTTGCAAATGGCCTTATTTAAGTGTTTAAGAAGTTAGAAGATGTTCTTTTTGTCTAGTATTTGACTTTAGCAGACCATTTTTTTAGAGCAATGGAATTGACTTCTTAGTTCATTGCATTTTTTTTTTGGTGAAATGCATATTGTAATAAATGTACTTGACTGGGTTATGTACTATTTTTTTTTTTAGCAATGGAATGCATGCTCTTCTTATTTCTGGTGCAACTAATTGGTTCACTTTCTACTGTTTCTTCACTTATAATCACGCCTGTTGCGCCCCACTTTTTGAGTGTGTGAAAGTAGTGTGTGGATATGTATGTGAACATGTGTGAAAGTGAAAATAAAAGGCCATGGGACTTGAAAATGCGACGATTTGGCCAAACAAAGTTCAAAAAGGGTTTTTGAATGGAAAATGGAGTCGCCACTTGGTATAGAGTTAGGGTGTACCAAATCACCCAAAAAGTGATTTTTTGGAAAGCAAAGTAAACAAACCCCTTTTTAAGAACTTTTAGGTATACGTAACCAAAACAAGGGATCGGGGGTCACATTTAATAAGGGAGAAGGCAAAGGCAAAGCCTAAGGCACTCCCTTACCCTAGCCAAAGCTAGTTGCGTGACTTAACCCTTCTTTTTCTAATTCTTCTACCCAAAATATGCTTTGCATGTTGGATATGACTAATGGATATGAAAAAGAAATGCAATTCTAAATCTAAAATGTCTCTTACGAGGCTTTTTGGTCCCAATCACATGAGTTGTGGTGGCCAATAAGGAAAGTCCTCATAGAGGTCGCGAATGATGCAAATGAAGGCTCAAATATGAGTGCAAGTGTGCAAATGTAAGAAAACGTGCATGTGTGCAAATGTAAGACAAGTGCATGTGTGCAAATGGAGAAAATAAAGGTGTTTGTGTGCAAATGAATGAAAATATGATAGTAGATACATATAAGTGCAATTGGGTGCAATTTGCGAGGTAGAAAATAAATGATAAAAGAAGAAAAATGTGCAAACATGGCATATGGATTGAGAAAAATATAGGTAGTGAGAAAATGTGGATAAAAGAGT